TAGCTGACACAGCTGGCCCATGCTGTCTAAAGCCCTGAAATGCATGTGGTTGGAGAGGTGCTATCATCTCACTGCAGCACACAGGAGGGCTCCCACAGGGAGTGTCTGGTTGCAGCCCAGATGGCATTATTAGGATGTAGAGTTAATACGTCATAAGTGTTTGACAGGTGCCACATTTGGAGTCCCAACTATGAACCATTTGATTTACTCAATTGCACTGCTTAGGTAGCATGGTGTATTGTCATTTTTTATGCCTAGCCATATATAACATGGAAGTTATTTTGATATTTGGTGTTTCCATCCACCATTCTACCCTCTACACATCCTAAACCTTGGCTGCATTTCAGAAGATAAAGTACTCTTCTGTTCTGGTGTTTTCAGGATATTTTAGGGCTTATTGTGAATATAGAGAAACAGCAATAAATATTTTTCTTTTTTTTTTCTTAACAAGTAGATATCAGTTTGTAAGATGATTATCACATCTTTAAAGTACACAGGCAAAGAGCAAGATCACTAAAACTAGAGCTGAATGATATCAGATACACATCATTATATTTAATTATTAATTGTATTTAATCCTACCAAGTAGTAAAGTGAAACTACTGGTTACATTACTAGAAGCTGTTTTGCTTAACTTCTCTTGGTATTATGCAAACCTAAAGGATCATTCCAACACAAACCATTCTATGATTCTATTCTGGAAATGCTACTTAATTTTTCAAAGTGTGGTATAAAGTGTGTGCCACATCTTTTCAGCAAATAACAAGTGGAGGGCTAGTTCTACAGAGAAATGCAGTTAGTAATGGAGAAGGAACAAAAGATTGTAGAAAACCATCTCAAAGGTTAATGACATCAATAGAGCAGCTTAAAACTTAACTGAAATAAAGAGATCATAGTATAGAGTAATTAGAAGATAGCACATGAACAGGATACATGAGTAATCAGCACCAAAAAATAATGTTCTCTTGCAAATAATTGTGGTCATGTACTTTTGCTCCAGCAGTGGGATATTTGTAGTGGTAACTGAAGAGTCTGACTGCAGTGAAACAGCTTTCCAGGGGCAGGTACCCCCTGCCTCTCCGTGCTGCCTGTGCACCCAGGCAAGCCACTCTGTCTGCTCTCTTCCAGCAAGACCTTTCTGTTACTCCAGAGCTAGTTCAAGTATTTCTGTGCACTTGTAGCCCAGGGTTGTGTAGTTTTAGTCCTGTGTGCCAACAGCACACAGATCAATAGTAAAAAACAGATTGATTATGCTTTCCGCTGCTCCTTCAGAGGCATCTTCTTCACCCATCCAGTACATCACAGTAGACATTTTTGTATTTTGGTGTCATTACAGGTTCTGCTCCCCGTGCATTCTTTTAGGGACAGCCGATAAGACATGGATGTAAGGAAGCAAGGGGAGGGGATATGTGGAGGGATAGTTTGTACAGTAGAACAGTTCTTGCTGAGATCAATACTCTGATTTACTTAATTGGAAACTGAAGGCTCTATTTTTAACATAGAGTAAGAAACTCTGGAAACCTGCCAGAGCAGGCAGCATGCTTCCAATTAAGTGTAGGCCAGGCCACCCACAAAGCCATACTTTCTCTCTCTCCCACATTGATTCTTGGCCCTCCTTAAGTAGCAGATTTTACATAAACTACTATTTTTCATATTCCAGAGGCTGAAAAACTGAAGCCTGTAGCTGACCTGTGGTAAGCTGTACCTTAGGGAAAGGGCAGGTGCATGGTTAGAGCCCAGCCCTCCACATACAAGGCTGGTGGATAATTTGGTAAATCATACTCATCTCAGACTGTGTATTTTAATGCAACTGATACTAATAAGTGGCAGAAGCAAGACGAAAATTTCAGATACTTGGGATTTTTTTTTTTTATTATTTTATGATGAGAATTTTAGTGTAACTGTCTGGCTTTGTGCTTGCACAGAAGTCTTTCCAAATGCAAATTGAAGGCTGCCCTCAGGTAGGGTTGTAGTTTACCATTTGGAAACAGCCTACTGTTGGAGGCATGAACTTCCACACCCTCCAGTGGTAGAAATGGAAAGGCTGCTGCAATAGGTGGGTTTGGTGGTATTGTTAAGTCTTCTGCAATCAGCAAAAATTAAGTCTTTTTCTCTATACAGAGACAATCACGTGCTATCCTGATTTCTTTGGCTCTGTGGTATGACTGTAACTCAATTACTGTTTTTTCGCTACCCTTCTTGCAAACTAAGGATGGGAAGGACAGAAACACTGAATGTGGCAGCACAGTGCTGAGTAAATAGTATCTACACCTAATCCTTCTTCTCATTAGATTAATATCCAGACTCTGTAATAAAGCTTTTGTCATTAGATATACGTCCAGTTGGTAGAATTAAGGTATCTTTAATGAAATGCCTTATTCAAGAACATAGTGTGGCTGTTTCTTTGGGAGACACCCCTCCTATTTTCCCCGTAGCAGTAGTCCAGGAGTCAGTCCCAAGTGGTGAAACAGGCATGGAAGGAAGCATTCTGTTGTTGAGCTGTGCTCTTCAGTCATTCTTCATCACTGAAGAAAACTAACAGGCTGGTGCAAAGTGTAATAAGAGCATAAACCTTTATCAGCATAATCTAGGGGATTTTTGTGAAAAGACAAAACAGAGAAACGAAGGTGAAAAGGTTCTGGTTGATTGCTGTGTAGAGGGTTTTGCTGAAATGATCCCATAGGTGAAAATTTGTGATGTGAAATATCTTACATGTGCTGTATCTATATCACCACTGTTGTGAAAACCTGTCAACAGGGCCAGGATCCTTCAGCAAGTGCTCTGGTAGTGATGAAAACAGGTTTTTTCAAAGGATGGAAAACTTACTGCAGTAATAATCTCTCTAAGCAGCTATGAGTATATTTTAATATCATCTGCCAGAGCAAGAAATGGTGTTAGTAAAACTAATCTTCAGAGCCACACAGTGCAGCATTACTAAACTCAGTCAGAAAAGATGACACATTCCCTTTGGTAAGCTACAAGGAATGGGCATGACTGCAAATGTGAGACCCTGCTTCTCTCTCTTCACCACTGCACAGAGCTCCTGCTGATGTGAATGGAACAGGTACTAAAGATCAGAGGGAGGTTCTGAGCTCCATTCTGTGCTGAATGCCAAGAGTCCTTCAGGCAAAATGGTTTGTGATACTGTAGTACAGTTGGTGGCTCAGCCTGGAAACTACGGTACCATGACACCATCTATGGCTGAGTAGAGAAAATAGATACATTTTTTTCTTAAAAGATACATAAAAATGAAGGCAGACTCCAGATAAATTCCAAAATTTGTAGTCGGAAATATTCTCCATTTCCTTAGCAGTCAACGGTTTTATATATTGATAAGAAAAGACCATAAAATTCAGTTACCTTTGTCATCTTGAGGAAATTAATACAAGACAGTTTTCAAAAATTTCTGTGAGCTTCAGGAGCATTTAGTTTCCCTTCAGAAAGGAGATATCCCATCAGGTACATCAGAAATTTAGTTGTCCTCAGAATGGTTTGGGGAAGGACCATCTCTATTGTAGCATTTAGCAGACCAGCATCATCTGCAGTCAGATTTCCACTCTAAGGAAGTTGAACTGTGAGGATTTTAAATTATCTGTAGGACACACGATGGGCTCTTTCTAAAGCTACCCCAAGCCTTTCTTTTCCCTGACAGGGGAAAAGGTTTATACTCCTGGAAATTTTAAAAGGAAAGATCAAGTTGTGACTCATGCACCTTCTGTATACAAACCCATTTCTTGCAGCTGGTTTTTTGAGGCATCACATGATAGATACCACGTTTCTAGCTATTTCCTGCATTTGCCTCTTCTGCAGCCAGTAGAGCAATGAATTTGCTGTGTTATCCAGGAGCTGAATGCTCTGCCACAGCATTAGCTTTCCAGGCCACTTGGCTCCAAGGAGCTGCTTATGGTCCTTAATAGCAGTCATCCTTGACTTCTTATTCACTTTAGATAATCATGAATTTTATTAAATTCATGATTTAATTAATCTGTTAGAATACTAACAGATCACATTAATTCAACAAGTGTTAGGTTGGTTCTGTGTAAAATTAAAGCCTAGACCTGATCGTGCAAGCACATAAGTATGAGAGTAACTTCATGCCTGTGATCTGCTCCACTGGACTCATTGAAGTGTTTGCAAGTAGCTACTTAACATGTTCTCAGTGTCTTGTATACTAAATGCCCTCTCCTGTTTACATAGAGAGAACGGTTGGTTAGGAGGTTTGTTTTGTTGTTTTTGTTGTTTTGTGTATGTCTGTTTTTAGGCAAGTAAATTAGTTTTTTTGTATTTGGCAGTAAAAAAATCATCTGGTCATTTCCAGATGCAGCTGACAGAGAAGATATAATGTATTGGAATATAATTTCTAATGAGTAGAAACTGTGTTAGGCCTCATTGAAGGAAACTCTTCAGTCTTACATCAGAGTGACAGATGACTGCCCTGTAGACCTATTTGCTTCTACAAATGGCATTTATAAAGCTAACGTTCTCTTCTAATCTTGAAAAGAAAGTACAGAAAAATTGAAAGCCAACAAAAAAATAGTTTAAAATAAAATTAGTTTTCATATTTTAAAATATTTAAGTAGAATGTACAAAGTTGAAAATAATACTAATTTGAGATTAATTTTACTCCAGAGTCCTAATTTTAAACTTTTTATATTTACTTTTTAATGTGTTTTGTATGAAGGAGCAATTTAAAAACTTTTATATATTTTGATGACTATTACAATTGCAGGTGTTATGTAGTTTATGCTTTCATAACAAACCTGTAAATTGTTTCTTGAGATTTTTAGAACCGAACACTCTAATTATGTTTGCTGCTGTTGAAAACTTGTCTTTTCTGCTCCTGCCATAGCATTTTGCTGGGAATATCTGGAATTAATGCAGTGTGGACACTTGGCTTCCTAGCTGCTATTCGACTGAGTTTCACATTTTAAAAACACAGACTCGCCCTGTAAAAGCTGAAATATCAAGGTACTTTTAAATATAAATACTTTATAAAAATAGGAATTAGCACTGGTTCCTTCTTATTCTAGCAATGCTTCAGCCCTGTATAATAAACAATGAAAAAGTCTGATGATATGAATATAGATAAAATGAAAATTGCTTCTGAGGCCACTAAATTTGAACAATCTCATCACTGGAGATTAAAAATTCCATCATTTGGATAAACGAAAATGGGTAATGTCTACATGGAAGTGATGGGAAACAGAGTTGCTATTACAATACAGGTAAGCAAGGGGTTTTGCTAACTGGCCATGTATAGTTGTCTATTTTAATATTCCACCGCTGATTATCTATCTGGCTTGGATATGTTGTTGTGAAATGTCTTCCAAAAGACATTGATAGTCCAGACTTTTCATGAATTCATATCATGGTTCTTTGTCTGGTTTAGAAAAATTTGTTTCCAGTATCCATTTCTACTGCAGATGGGTTCAATGCCTGGGCACCAAAACAGGAGGTGGTGGCTGCCTCCCTGAGCTGACACTGGTCTTATTCTGCCCCCAAAGTCTACACACCCAGTTCATCCACATGACCTGTTCAGTGCATTATTTTATTTGGAATTCTGTCACTGGAGGGAAAAAAGTGCATTTTAAAGAATGATTTTGATGGCATGCTGTGTAATAGAACCATTATATTTGTGTCTTCAGGATGTTGACCTGAAAGCATGTCAGGGAGCTTTAGGTGACTGCTGTCCACCTCAAGGAGAGGATCAGTTGGAACTGCAAGAAGAAGAAGAGAAAGACATAAATCAAGTAAGTGATGAAAAAAAGGGAAGAAGAGAAAAATGAAGAGAAAGTGAGGGAGGATATAGAAATGACTAAGATAAATAGTAATGAAAGGTTTTGAAAGGAATAATTTTCCTTTTTTTATTTGAAGTGTTCCTTGCCAGGGCAGGAAAGGAATGCTCACTCCAGACAATGCTTTGTGAATGTTTCCCTTGTACACTATTTTGAAAATTGCCTTCTTCCCTCAATCCCCCACTATTTTTTGAGTAGTTGAGATATTCACAAGTTTACAGAAAACACTTGCAACTAATAATTTCTTAATTTAGGTTTATTTTCTCCATTATGAAGGTGTTGTGCTTGTGGGCGAGGATGTTTTTGCCTACAAACACTAGAGACATGGATGCTAAATTAAATACTGCTCTCACCCTTTATGTAAAGCTTGATGCTCAGATGCAGAATTACATTTGGCACACTGGACTCTTCAGTTTTGTTTTCTCTAAGAGTTACAATGAAAAAGGCACTCAGTTTTCTTGAGACCTTGTGTGAGTTGAGAACATCTGATCCAGGTGTCTTGCCAGCCTGTTTGCCATTCCCCTGAGAGTTTGGCTTTGAAAAAATACCCGATTTTTCTGCACTGGTGGAGAGGTACAGCTTCAGAGGAAGGCCCAGTTCTGCTGTTGCAGGCATAGTAAGGCTGCTCAGGCCCTGGAGCTGTTCTGATCTTGCTAACGTGTTCATCTTCCATCAGTATGAAGACTTGATGGTGGTCAGCAGCAGTATTGCACTGTGCTCTGTGTCTCTCAGACTTTGATTTTTACCTCCTTTTACATAAAATGACTGTGCTTTACACCGTGTTTCTCTTTCTTTTGTCACAGAGCAACAGCAACCATGTAGATTCCCTTCTCTCCTTAGAGGGCTATTTACAGCTTCTGTCATCACAGGTGGAAAACATGCTAGAGGTAAATGAAAAAATACAGGAATCTGTATTTATAAAACAGAAAATCTATTGCAGATAGATTGGAATGCAGTCAGTAGTTACTCTGTTTTATCAAATAACCACAGTTTACCACACCCACTCTGGCAATATATTAGCAACTCAATGTAGTAAAACTTACCTGAAACTGCTGAAGATGTTACTATCCACCTTTTGCAGCAGCTCTCATTGGCTCTACTTTAAAAATTTTCCCCAGAAACTTGTCTGGTGTAAAACTGCATCTTTACTGGATGGAGCCACTGGACAACTCAATTAGTTCAACTAATAGTTGTCTTTCTGAAACTTAATACCAGTTTGTATTTATGCAACAGCTCTTGGTGTGTTTCTGTAGAACAACCCTGATTTATTAAACAGGAGCAGCTGTTGGGCATTTGTGGTGAAAGATTACATTTGTCATAAATATTGTGTCAAGTGCTTGCAGGGTTACTACTCTCAAGAACAGATCATCTTCACTGCAAATCAGATCAGTCAGCAGTAGCAGTAAACCCATTTTGTGGTTTGGGTTTTTTGTTGTTTTTTTTTAAATCTTGTGGCCCTCTGATACTGTATTTTACTTTGTGTGCCCGTGTTCACAAAAAATGCTTGTTATCATAATTGAAGTCTCCCTCTTCTCCCACTCATAAGCTCATAGCTTCAACCACTGACCATGAAGCTACTCCCTACATTCCTTTTTTGCAATACTTAAGGGCATCTTACATACACTTCCCATCATAGGATCCTTTTCTGGGGCCATGAGCATTTTTCATATAACTTCATGCTTATCTGGTTTTGGGAATCTGTAGCTTAGATAGTACCTTCCAGCCCATAAATCAGCCTTCTCTTCTGTTCAGCTCTGGAAATGGATTGCACACTATCAGGGTGTAGAAATTCATCAGTTTAGTTTTCTCTGTTCTCAAAATTTGAAAGGAATTTGGCTGTAGGCTTTATGCAGCTATTACAATACACAGTAACATATTGTATATTTTATTTAACATTATTTATGCACTGCCATCTTGTGACAATCTGTTAAATATGGATTGATTGTTTCTGCCAAGTATCAAGTCTTTACAGTGAATGGGATATTTTGATAGCTGACTTACTAAGAACTGTTCTTTTCAAGGGATTAGTTGAAAATAGCATCTCTATCTCACAGATGGCAGGTGCTCTAATACAGGGTAACTCCATAGCAGAAATAAGGCAAGACCTTCTGTTACCTGAGCTCCCAGTAAGCATAATAGAGAACTGATGTTCTGTTCCTCACGGTACATCATTCCTTCCCTGTGGAAAGTGCTTTTTACATAGTCTGTTCACTGAATAGCAGTCAGAAAGTCCTTCCCTGAAACTCAGTAAAGGACACTCAACTGTGGAGGAATCCTATGCATTTCCTACTTGATAAATTTACATTTTCAAGTACTTTGTATCTGTCTGTTTTATGACTGCTCTGCTTGTCAGCAAGCACTCAACATAATCATGGACTGTGGCTTTGTGCTTCTAAGACCCAGCAACTTTAACTCAGGTCCACAAAAGGTGGGCCTTAGTGCTACCTACAGCATTACCAGTCCAGTTTATTGTTTGAATATCAGGGCCAAGGCATCATATATCAGCTTGGGTTTTGTAAAAAAACAGAGTAGTAATTTGAAGTCAAGACATCCACAAAAGGTATGACTTGGTGGGGGAGGTGTTACTTCCAAACTGGTCAGTGAAATATTTCAGTTGAGTTTTGGATGCAATAGACCATTGTTAAATGGAACTAAACCAAATGTGGTACATCACAGCCCTGGAAATTTCATAAACTGTGAAATGAGTTAGTCAGACTGCAACAGCACAGTCTTAATGTTCCTGTCTTCCACTCCTCTTTTCTTCACTGTCCCTACTGGTTAACTTCTGCAGATGAGCTACTTATCTTCTTTAAAAGTTCATTTTCCAACACTTTAGCACCTTGAACCAGCTCACCTTTGAATCATTGTCTTGGTTTGAAAAGACAGGTGTCTGCTGAGGAAGGCAGGAGCCTCCCTTGAAATGGAAAATGTAAACCTCTTCCCTCCAAATTATAATAATTTTGAAACTAAGGGCCTCTCAGGCAAAGATATAGGAGTAGGAATAACAGTTCTTTAGTTATTTGTATAAATAAAAAAACTACAACTTAATAGGAAACTTAAAATGCGGTAGTACAAAAACCACTGACAGAGTCAGAATACAACCTGACACCCTGCTGGCCAGGGTGTTGCTAGCAGTCCAGTTAAGTGGTGGCTGCAGTCACTGTTGAAGCAGTGATCCTGTGGAAGGCTGTAGTTTTCCTCTGAAGGTCCAGTGGTGGTGCAGTATGGTCTGGTCTTCCTTTGGGAATCCAGTGGAAAAAGGCTGACTGTGGTGTTCCAAATCTCAGACTATATCCAGGTAGGAATGCTGGGTGGAGCATCTCCCAGTGGGCTGATGTAATTTTATCAGCCATGCAGTGAGACTCAATGGCCCATTATCAGTTTTCCCCTTGGAGGGAGGGTGGGTTGTGGAAGAGATAAAGAACACTGCCCCACCTGTTTTTAACAGATGTTTAAAACCTTTACTTTTGTTTACATCTTGCAGTGCAACCTAAGAGAATCATCAATACCACTACCAGGAAAGGGTCATTACCACTCCTCCTAGAAGGACTTTTTTCTTAAACCAGATCAGACATAACACAAGTAGGCCATAGTCTGTACGCTTGGCAATAGTCATGTTTTCACCTCTCAATCCTCATCAGTCCCACACTGTCCTTTGCAAGTCCTTCTCCCATTCCTTCAGTCAGTTCTGCACCCTTCCTGCTTCCTTTTGCCATGTGCCAATACAGATTATGCTTTGTACAGATGGGAAACAGCATTACAAATAGCTAGAAGAAGAGCTTAATGTACAAAAATTTGGCTTTAATAGAATCAAGTAGTGGAATATTGACAAACAAATTGATTGTGACTGTGTAGGCAAGGGATGTAGAAGCATTCGTTTTATGAAAGATCCCATTTCCCTCTCCCCCTTTCACCTTTTAGGTGAACTTACTGGAAGATACACAAGTTGCTACTTCTAGTAAAGACCAAGATCCATCATCCTCAGACCACAATATAAATTTGACCCAGAAACTTCAGAACAGTTTTGGTCCTCCTGATGCCATGCTACTAGGAACAGACTACCCCACTCAATTAAATTCAAAACCAAGACACTTACAAAGGCAAGAGTTCTTTCCTCAGTCAAGCTCTGGTATCACAAATCCAGAATCACTGTTTCATGGGTCAAATTTGACAGGGCTGTTTTCAGCTGCTGACATTAGAAATCAAACAGCCCATGATGATAGTTTTGATGAAATTAAGCTCATGTCTTTGGCTTTGGAGGAAGGCTTTAGTCCTATAGAAGTTTCTCAGATGTTTGAAGAGCCTGGCTCAGATTTGGGACCATCTTTGAATTCAAATCACTGCACCACCTCTTATTCAATCTGCTGTGAAGATTCCGTTTGGTACAGCAGTGGTGTTAAATCTGCTCCTTCACATGGCTTAGGAGCTGTTGGTGGCCACTGCCAAGAAAACATTAAGCACAGCCACATGGAATATCCGGGTGATACAGAGTGTTCTGCAGAAGCCACACTTCAGCAGTTTCTTCAAAATCACACATACAATCAGCTGCCAAGTCAAACAGCATCCACTCCACAGCATCATCAACAGATGTGGATGAAGAAATCAAACGAAGTGAAAGATAGGTGCCACAATTCTACTGCTACAAACCGGAGCAGAGATGAATGTCGTGCAAAAGCTCTGAGAATACCATTTTCAGTTGATGAAATTGCGAGCATGTCTGTTGACTCTTTCAACGCCATGCTAGCAAAGAACCAGCTAACAGAAACTCAGGTATCACTTCTGCGTGACATCAGACGAAGAGGAAAAAACAAAGTAGCTGCACAAAAATGTCGTAAACGCAAACTGAATGCAATTCTTAACTTGGAAGAAGATGTGTGTAACCTCCAAACACAAAAGGAGACCCTTAAAAAGGAGCACTCCCAGTGTAGCAAATCTATCAACCAGATAAAGCAAAAATTAAACTACTTGTACCATGAAATTTTCAGCAAGCTGAGGGATGACCAGGGTAGACCTGTTAACCCGTGCCAATATGTCATTCATTGCAGTAGCAGTGGTAGTGTTTTCTTAATGCCCAAGCACTTGGCCAAATCTGAACAGAAACAAGAGAACAGAAAAGAGCAGAAACAAAAGTAAAATGACTGGAGATCACCTAAATCACCTTTATTTCACCTGAAAGGATGATAAGAATACTTGAGTGAAGACTAAAGGTCAGTGATTACAGCAGTTCAAACAGCAACAACTACACTTGAGGAGGAACACTGTGTTGAAAGGTCTGGCAAACCCAACCAGCTGTGATCTATTAGAAGATCCATGAGCTGACGCCTCTAGATGAGGATATCTGTTTAGTTTTAGTTAGAATTAAAGGAACTAGACCATCAGTGTAGTGTAGCTTTACAGACCTGTGTTAAAACTAGGAATTTAATTACTGGTAATGGGGGCAGAGGGATTAGTGAGGGATAAAACTCAACTTTCGATTGTTACACATGCAAGAAAATGTTTTAGTCTTGAATACTCGATTCTTTATACAGAAAATGACCTTACTTTATTCTCTAGCACTGAAAGAAAAAGTACAGTTCTAGTGCATCTTCAACTTAAATTCACTGTGGGTTTCCATAGGCTCCAGAGATAACTGCATGCTTTGCATTTATTCAGAATAGCTCTGCTTTTCCTAGTTTTCCTATGAGGAGAGCAGCCCAGGGGGCTACTGCATTTTTCCTCACTACTTTCATCATCGTAATGCCAAGCAAAGATAATCTGCCACTTAATTTTACAACTCATACACTCACAGTCTGCAAACAGATGCTGAAAAAGTGTCTGATTCAATCCTGTCTTACCTTCATCCTCTGCAACTGAATCATTCTCAACTTTCTTCCACAAAAATGCCCAATGGTGGAGTTCCTGTTTAGTTTCCTAGTGACTGTGAAACTTACTCGTGTACCTTCTCTTTTCCTTCCATTTTGACACCTTCCTAAAGAAGTACTTGAAGTTTTTCTCCATGGCTTTTTTAACTAGTATTTTTAAAGTGTCTTTAATGTCCCAGATTTAGTTTTTTATAATATACATTTTACCTAGTCTTTAAATTAAATTGAACCAAATTACTATTTATCTATACTTGTAATTATGAAGTTACACTTTGATAGTGCTCCAAATGAAGAGTTTTTTGGTTTGACATTTATCTGTGCTATTAAAAAGAGGTTTTATTCACTCATGTACTTTCAACATCCTATCCTTTACTGTTTTACAGCCTGAAAAAGGTCTGCAAAAGAGATGGCCTAAAAGGCCTGTAATGAATGATAAGGAAGGAGTGTTGAGGTGTATTATGATGAAAATAACTACTAATATTAGTGTCTAGGTAACAACAAATACTTTTTGTTCACTTTACTTAAAAAGTTCTCATTAGTCATGGTATGATGACAATGGAGCAAATTTACATTCAGGTATCTTCAAAATCACTTGTACCAAACATGTGAAAACTACACATACGAGGTTAAATGCCAAGTAATACCTACTGAAGAAACAAACTGCTAGTAGCATGGAAGTCACATTGACTGCTTGCACTAGTCTGTAAAAATTGATAAGACTAAGTGGCATTTTCTAAAAAGGGAGTCCTAAGGTAGTGACGAGTGCACTGAACTATCAATAATGAAATCAGCCGATCTGAACAATTTTCTCAGCATTTTCTATTAAAAGATTTCTTCAAATAAATGTGTGCCTGTGTTCTTTACTGGTTTCACCACAGCCTCAAATTGCTAAGTACAGATTCATAGCAGAAAGTCTCATGACTGAGGCCATGCAATTTCCTGTTGTTGGTTAAGCATGAGACACAGGTGTCCCAGTTGGTATTCACATGGAATTTGTCTACCGGCTAGGCCACAAACTTCAATCAAAACATGCAATAGGTGTCAGATACTACATATGATAAACCGTGAACTTTTTCTCTTTGTAGGGGGAAAAAAGTACATATTCAAATCAGCACGATCATAATAGATTAAATGACATCATAAACATTTTAAAATCCATGCACTTAGCCTCTGCAGGATGAGGTCTTTAAACCTACTTCACTGCCTAAATTCTGCTAGCTACTAGATGAGGCTCATAACTGAGAAATCCAGAAAGCCAAGTATTTCTGTTTTAGAGCCTCTCATGGGGACAAGAGAAAAAAAAAGCCTGAACTTTTTGGTGCCCACTCCTTCAATAGCAATGGCAGGTGAGCTCTGTGGATTTTTGTAAGGCCAGCTGTTAATGGAGTATTGTACACAGCAAATTGGGAAACAGCTACATTGTTAAATTTTGGCCCGTGCCAAGAATAAAGCATACTGTAACCCTTTCAGAACACAATACCAATGGAAAGCCTCTTACTCCAACTGATCCATTGAAGACATCAGCCCTAATCCCATTCCATTACCTGTCAATTTGCAGAGTGTAAAGGATTATGAACTGCCCTCAGCTAATTCAACTGTCGTTATTGCCCAGTAACGGTCGTCTTTAACAAGTTGATGAACCGCAGTTCCTCAAAACCCAACAAGCAACTCTACCCCTACAAAAACTGGAGCTGAAATTCTAGTTGTGGATGGACTGCAATATTGATGGCACAATGAGTGTTATGTATGGATGTGTATTTTTTCAAGCCATCAGCTACCTGCCCACAGGACAAAACCATAGGTAGAATTCAGACCAATGTCCTATTTTGTAACTGGAGTAGACACGTTTCATCTAAAAGCCATTGAAGTGTTTTCCCTTTCTACAGCTAGCACGTGTTTAAAGAAAAATGCCAAACACACACACAAAAAAATCCATACCAAACAAAAATCCCCAAACATTGCCTGGTCTTGGCTATGCTTTATAGTTTCATGTCCTCAAATGGTGTGTGGTTAGGATAGAAAGCCTGAAGCTTCTGATCCACTTTATATACTGGCCTTAGACTGTCTCTGCGACCCCTATACCAAAATAGACACTATTTTTGAACTTTTCACGTAAACAGGACTGGTCGAAGGAAGTTGTTACTGAAAGGGTTGTAAAATGTGGATAACACCCAACTGCTGAAGTCTGTGTTGGCTTTATTATTGACAGATCCTATATTTTCACAAAATCAAAATCCCAAGTGTACAAATCAGGAGCTTTAGTGCATGAAAAGAAACCATGTGGTATCCTACTCTGGAGCCAGATGTGACAAAGCCATTACAGCTGTATCTTACCTTAATGCTACTCCGAAACACAGGTCTGATGTTAGGCTGAAAACACTTTTTAATTATATATTATTATTTAATTGTATTTTAATTATAGCTAGGAAACCATTAAGCTGATGATTATAAACAGCTGTTGACATCAAAAAACAAATACAGAAGAGGGAGAAATCATTAAAATACTGTTCCATGGCAAAGCTTTTAGATAGTCTGTAATACTTCAGTGGTAAACTACATTTCTGTATTGTTAATAAGAGCTTATCTGCAAGAAATTAGGAAAGGTCAGATTAAGTAAAAATAAAAACTGGGTGGTGTGCCCGTGACTGTGCACACATACTGTATTCCCATTACTGATCGCAGCAAGATGTACTACCTGCTGGCCAAGATTCACACCTGTTCTGGAGAAACATCCACCAGTAACAAATGCAAGCCAAGTATTCCATCAAACTGCAACCCCCATTGCACTTTTTCTGACGTGTAAGGCTGGACAGTCCTATAAAGGCATCCTGCAAACAAGCACACCCAGAACAGACAGCATTTGGTTTGACATTTATCTGTGCTATTAAAAAGAGGTTTTATTCACTCATGTACTTTCAACATCCTATCCTTTACTGTTTTACAGCCTGAAAAAGGTCTGCAAAAGAGATGGCCTAAAAGGCCTGTAATGAATGATAAGGAAGGAGTGTTGAGGTGTATTATGATGAAAATAACTACTAATATTAGTGTCTAGGTAACAACAAATACTTTTTGTTCACTTTACTTAAAAAGTTCTCATTAGTCATGGTATGATGACAATGGAGCAAATTTACATTCAGGTATCTTCAAAATCACTTGTACCAAACATGTGAAAACTACACATACGAGGTTAAATGCCAAGTAATACCTACTGAACACTACACACATTTTGAGAATGACCAATACAGTAAAGTACAGCTTTAAATTAACGTTTTAGGTTTTAGGTTTTATTCAATAGTTCTGGCTCTTTACAACGCCAAACTTTACAAACTAAAGATGTTCCTGCTCAAGAGCTTACAATCTAGTTTTAGATAGGGAACCAGAAAAAACTTCAATGAGGAAAGGACAAAGCACTTCGTGAGTATCAACTTGTCAATCTTTGTCCCAAAACACACACACACATTAGTTCTTTCTCTGAGATTAAGTACAGCTCTAACGATCTTGAGGAGAGAGGTGGCAGAGACCTATAAATGAGGCAACAGGACACTCAACAGCAGGGCGTAGTAAGAAACTCTTTTATTATGTAAACCAAATAGAGATGGCAGATGTAACCAGGTGAAGTCTTACTACTGTAGTGTACCTCATGAAGTACTGCAAAACTTGACACCTGCTACACAGCTACTAGAACTCTGATGTCCATCAGCCACCCATTTTCATTCAATGCCCCAAAATGAACCAAGCAAGGGGGAAGAGTGCTGGTAACAGCAGTTTTCTAGGACTTTCCCCCAGTCACCTTTTTGCACAGTGGAGCAGCATGGGAGGTCACACAAGCTAGTCTGTGAGGTGCCCAAACACTGTTGACCTAGTATATTCATAGCACTCTGTCAGACAAGTCACACAAGTATTTATACACTGTTAATTTTACTGCTGATAGAGAAACCAGTTCTTGCTCCATTAACTGGAGTAACTCCTGACAATATTTCTGTGCAACACAAACCAACAGTAGCTGCAAAGTAAAAACATGACCATTAAAAGGGACAGTACTTCTGGCAAAACGGATCATTACCCAGGCAAACCCTTCCATACGACACTTTTATGCATTCCTAGACACACTGAATGGTATAGTTGAAAAAACATGGCTGAAGAGGAACAGCCATCTCCCTTAGGCAGAAAAGAAGCAACAGCACTACTACAGGGTTCCACTTGCGTCACACACTCTGCTTCAAAAATGAACTGAAACACTAAACCTGCAGGGAATGTACAGCCCCAGTATGTTCCCAGCAAATGATCCTCCACCAATGAGGTCCAGCTGCCAAAACAAACTGGGTTGATAACGGTTTGAAAATTCAGATCCATTTCTGGGGCTTGGGTTTTCTTTCCCAGAAGTGGTATGATTACATCACCAAGAGATCATGTACATTCATCATCATACTAAAAGAATACAATCTTTCCTACACATCACAAAGTTCAAGTCCTGTTCATTTCACAGTGTAACGGCAATTGTTCACATTTTCTTGAATGTTTTTTAGCACCTGCAGCACAATAGAAGTAAAATTCAACTTTCATTGTAAGTAACACAAAGTCTGAGTGGCCAGAACCCTACTACTGACCTTTTTTCACCATTTTATAAATACAAGTAATACTATTTTTGGGTGGTCTTTGGCTCACACACCAGTTATCAACAAGTTCTGTTGTTTTTCTTTCTTCCCTCAGTTTGCTGCACAAAGTGTTCACTGGGGGAAAGCTGGACTTAGTACTGACAACCTGATCCTCAGCTGTTAGTATCTGGAAACACTGTAATGTTACACTTACTTGGAAGACGAAGTCTGTAGTGACAAAATCCTACTTGATAAAAGTAAGAACCCATTGCCTACAAACTGGATGACCAGTGACTGACCACACAATAGCACTTTTATTTGAAGTTGCTAAAAACTTCCAGTATCAGGCTGACTCAGAACTGTGACTTCCCTCACCACATTCATTGGTGAACACTGTTGACTGTCACGTGCCTTAACTTTTAAGACCACACCAAGAGAAAAGTTGTGGAAGTTCAACAGTAGGACATCAGAAAACTTAAAATACACCAGGTTTTCAAACCTCAACTTTAAATATCCAGTAACTTCACTCCTGTGCAGTGCTGTCCCCCTGTACACTCCCTTCCCTCAGTGCCAACAGATCAAAATAAGACAGTACTCATTATGGAAACCATGCTCAATTAAAGTAGATTTTAAACCTTGTTACTAAACTACTGAAATAGTATTTTGAACAGAAAAATAATTACTGCCCTTTGAAGTGGTTTTGTTAGTTCTTTAAAATGGTGTATGAATGTGAACTTGGCAACTGTAAAGAAAAAACTTTCATCAACTACATCTAAGTTATAGGAAAGAAGGCAAATTCCTTATGATCTGGTCATTCTGTTGGAAAGAAGAAAGTAAAGGAGATTTTTGCATCTTCATTTTCTACTTCCGTTGCAGCCCACCGGTCACCTATTCAAGTATTTCAAAGTTCAGCTTAAACAGAAAAAAATTGTATGTGAATCCTTAAACAGTATTATCAAGGTTAAAGACACGATGATTCTGCCAAAGCATATAAATTTCAAGTTTTGAATAAACCATGCATGAAGATAAATGTTAAAATAGTATAACCTCAAGATACACTCTCCAGCTGAAGCTTTCCCAAGCTCACACTTGGTATTTTAGTGGTTTCATTTGGTTTGGCATTTTTTGTTTTGGTATTTTTCTTCTGCCCCCAGATGCACCTATGGGTAATAGAGTTTTGTACAGCAGGTCTGTCTGTCTTCATGCTAAAAGCTCTTTAAAAATGAAAAGGATAAAGCTCTTGTCCTATTGCATCTGACAAATTGACTTAGGTCGTAGTTTTGTTAACAGGCAAGTATGAGGTAATATAAAACACAGCCAAAAAAAAACCCCTACTTTTAAGCACTTGTGTCCAACAGCACAGATATCAGCACTTTAAATTTGCAGCACTGTTTCTCCCAAAAGAGAACAGATGCCCATGGTCAGAGAAACAAGTTCCATGAACACACGTGTCAAACTGATTCTGTTTTAAATTCACCTCAAAATGGAATGTCTCAAATCATGAAA